GAGGGGTTCAGAGAGCAGGATCAGGGATGGGGCAGGCTGTTGGGGCATGGGGTGGGGGGTGAGGGCTCTGGGGTGGGGCTGAGGATGAGGGTCTTGGGGTACAAGGGGGGCTCTGGGCTGGGATTGAAGGGTTTAGAGGGTGGGAGGGGGATCAGGGTTGGAGTACGGGGGAGGGGTGTGAGGGCTCTAGCTGGGGGTGTGGGCTCTAGGGTGGGGCCGGGGATGAGGGGTTTGGGATGCAGGAGCGTGCTCCGGGCTGTGACCGAGGGGTTCGGAGAGCGGGATCAGGGATGGGGCAGGCTGTTGGGGCACGGGGTGGGGAGTGAGGGCTCTGGGGTGGGGCCGGGGATGAGGGGTTTGGGGTGCAGGAGGATGCTCCAGGCTGGGACCGAAGGGTTCGGAGAGCTGGGAGGGGGATCAGAGATGGGGCAGGCTGTCGGGGGTGGGGTGAGAGCTCTGGCTGGGGGTGCAGGCTCTGGGGTGGGGCTGGGTTTAAGGGGTTTGGGGTACAAGAGGGGGGCTCTGGCTGGGATCAAGGGGTTTGGAGGGCGGGAGGGGGCTCAGGGCTGTGGCAGGGGGTTGGGGTGTTGGGAGGGGGGATCAGGGGTGCAGGCTCTGGGCAGCACTTACTGCAAGCAGCTCCCGGAAGCATGTCCCCCCTCCGGCTCTGAGGCGCAGCCGGACGGCTCTACGCGCTGCCCCGTCTGCAGGCGCCATCCCTGCAGCTCCCATTGGCCAGGAACAGCGGCCAATGGGACCTGTGGGGGACGGTGCCTGCGGGTGGGGCAATGCGCAGAGCCGCCTGGCCATCCCTCCGTGTACTACATAGGAGCCGGAGGGGGGTCATGCTGGCTGCTTCCTGGGAGCTGCGTGGAGTGGGGTAAGCTCCTGACCCTGCTCCCCGGCTGGAGCACCGGAGCTGGGCAAATTCCCGATCCCTGGCGGGAGCTGAGGACCAGATTAAATGGTCTGACGGGCCGGATGTGGCCCGCAGGCTGTAGTTTGCCCACCCCTGTTCTATTTTACTATTTTAGGCAATTGTGGATTGGTACCCTACTATAATTTCACATGGTTCTCCTAAGGGTTTATTTTGACATTATACTTCTTAGTAGCTGCATATTTTGTTGAGCCATTGCTAGTTTATGATATTTTGGCTATTTGTGAGATTCTAGTATGGTATTCTTCCCAAACTGCTGGCACAAGCCTTGATTCCCCCTAGTTTCAATTTTATATAAAACACACTTCTATAGGGCCAATAGAAAATGTTTCCACAATTTAAAAAAATCCAGTGAAAACACTTTTTAAAAAAAACAAACACTCCCCAAATAAACCACTCCCCTGCTGTTTGAATCCCAGACATTATACCACTAAAACCTGGAAGTGAAACCTCAGAGAGATTATCATGGTCCAATCTATAAGAAATGCAAAAAGTAAACTAAGAATCATAACAAGTGACAAATAAATTGGATTTTTTAAATTTTTGCTTCTAATAATCTAAAAAAGTTAGTTAATATAGATCAAGAAGTGTTTGTTTGCAAAACGTTTAAATTGAAAGCATCCTTTTAACAGTGGAAAAAATTGTCCCTTGAAACATATATATTGAAATACATAGTTTATGGATGATAAATGCAACTGATCTTGTTTACATTGGGTTCATTACCATAACATAAAATCTTGATCTTTTGTTGGGAGAGGGAAGGGAATAGAAACAGTTTAATTTGTATTCATTTGTAATATTGTTATTCAAATAGAATTCTCTGGAGCATTAGAATTTCACGTGCAGCAGATATATGAACCCTGGACATCAATAGCTAGTATTTCCCCAGTATTGAATCCATTGTTGGCAGTAATCAGAGTTAAACTCACTGGCATCAAAGCATTATGACAGATCTCTGATTAAACTGAATATGTGCTTTATTGTGCAATACTGATTGCTGAGTCTTTTTGTTTTAAAGATATTATGATTAATTATGTCCGTTTTTAAGCACAATAAAACATAAGTTTATCTCCTTACTGGTCTTCCTAGTACAAAAATGGCTTCCAGGCACTTCAGGACTTGAGTGAGCACCAAGTAATGCTCTCTTTTGTTCATGCTATTTCTTAGACAAAATGTTGTGAAATTGTTTGGAGACCAAGAAGAATTCAAATAAATCTTTTTGCAACTAAGTGTCCTGATATGTCAAAATATTAACACTATATAGCAGTCCCTGGGATCTAGATGGAAGTCTTATAACAAGTTGCTTCTCTAGAAAGTTAACATTTTAGTTCCAGAATGAAGTGCTTTATTTCTATGACCTACTTTTTGCTTTTATCAAGAACCTGCTGCTGCTGCTTTTTGTTGTTGTTGGAAATACAGTGATACGTTGGTTTTTCCAGCCCCTGGCAGGCAGAAGGCTATCAGGTTTCTTGGGTAGCATGCACAAGATTGGCAACTATTACACCCTTTAAAAAAGCGAGCATATGCTTGCCCCTGTACTGGCCCTGTGTTTCCTGATAAAGCATAAATTGCGCCCTATGCTCAGTCATTCTTCTTTGGTATAATCCCATCCCCCTTCACACCTTGCTCTCAAGTGATGCAATCACCATGAATCTGTCTGCATCCTGCAAGGATATGCATGGGAGGAAAAATTGCTCCTGGTGCAATCCATCACAAACAAGAGAACAGCTAGAAACTGTCCCATAATATAAAACAAAAATGCTGTTTACCCTGTTAAACAACAACAATCTTTTTCCCGTTTAAAAAATTCATAATATGTCATTGGGAATTTTGCAGGAGTGCAGGATCAGACCCAACAATTGCATTATATCACAGGTCTGAAGAGCTCTAAAAATTTAATTGTTTTCAACATTGGTTTCCATTTAGTCCTATATAGGAAGTATGCCCTTCCTCAGATACCCTGCGTGTTTGATCAAAAGAAAAAGAAACTATTGTACCACTTGGAAACTTTACTTATTTCTTTACGTAGATAAGGCTTTCAATAAATACAAGGCATGGAGTTTCCGTTACAGTTAGACCAGTAAAAGCTAGGTCTGCCAGTAAAATCTTCTTGCCTATAACTAATCTTTTACTGATGTTAATTTAAAAGGAATTTGTAGACAAATTATTTTGCACTAGAGCAAGATTCCTTTTCTGGTTGCCACTCCTACTATTCTGGTAATCTTGATGTTCTTGGGGAAGGGGGGGGGGGAGAGATTGTGTTCACCTTTTGCAAAAATTCATATTAAAACTGTTTCCTAATATATCCATGTCTTTTGAAATCGCATTCTGTGGGAACAATCAGATCTATCTTGTATACTGCACATAGGGCCTTAACCAACATTCGTTGAAGTAAATGAAAAATATTCTATTAATTTATTTGGATGCTAGATTGGGCCTATAACTCGCTTATTCTTAGTGACATTTTAATGCCTGCCTCCATCTACTTGTTTAGCTACTCTGGCAAGGAATTTGTAACTAATTTTTGTTGATAGCTGAATACTTCAGTCAGGCACCTACCAACTGCTGAAGATGGGTTTATCTTTGACTTAGTCAGCTCAGTCAAATGTGAAACTTATTGTGAAGATTTAAAATGGAAAATCTATATACTGTGTCAGAAATCAATACTCTTTTAACTAATACTTTCTCACTGTCATGTGTTTATTAGTAGTATTAGACATTGCCTTTGGAGAACAAGACACTATCCCATGTTAATATAATAAAGGCTGTAGCAGAAAGGGCTTCTCAATGGTAAAAGTGGGGCTAGGCCTAGATAGTGGCACTATGCTCTCAACACACACACAAGATGACCATTTCACAACTTTTGGTGGGCTTATTTGATGCTCATTGTCCACATGATAACTGTGGGATTGGGCCTGAAGTGGTTTAATATGTGTTATTCAGTTCATATTTGGGCCTAATTCTGTGTTTCCTGTACACCCAGAATTCCTGTTAATTTCAGTGCTACTTTGAAGGTTATCACATCCCTCTTTACATCATCATTTATCATTTCACAGTTCAAAATTATAAAAATGCCTTTCCTGACTATTATAACCTTCATAAAAATGTGATACCTAATGTCAGACACTAGCCATCTCACTGTGCAAAGCCTGTTAACAAGCTTGACGTCTTGCTTCCTAACCAGAAGAACTTACAAAAAGTCATCATCTCAAAATGACTTATTTTCCTCCCATAGTAAAAGAAGCAAAAAAGGAGATAAAAATGGAAAGGGTCTGAGGCATTTTTCAATGAAAGTATGTGAAAAAGTCCAGCGTAAAGGAACAACGTCCTACAATGAAGTAGCTGATGAACTGGTATCAGAATTCACAAATTCTAATAGCCACTTGGCTACAGATTCGGTAAGTAGATGTGATGTTAATTTTTTTATTTTACAGCTATACTGTCATATCCTGTCACAGTTCTCTTAGAATTCTACGCTTGTTTCTGCCTTGACTTGTCATGTTCCACTGTCTCTTTCAAACAAATGTGTCTCAGGGCTATAGATCTAGGCCTAGACCATTTCCAAAAATATCAACATGCAGTATATAAAATAGGTTCCATTTTAAATATAGAATTAATACCACTGAATACCCTTTAAAATACAACAAAATACAGAGACAACAGGCTGCCTTAAAATTGGCTTTTAAAATATTCTACTCACACTCCACCCCAAGTAACTGAGAGTCTGAGGTGCTTCGGTCTCCCTGAAATGGAGGATACCTGTCTCAAATGCACAAGTTGTAATAACTAGGCCGACTGTTGTCTTAATTATGTGTACACAAAACTGCACAAGTTATTACATCAGATTAATCATTTTTGTCATGATGGAAATACAATTGAAAAATCAATTTCTGTAGAAATAATTGTGCTATAGGATATAATCATATTTTGATTGAGGTTGTTATTAATATATAGGAGTTTGAGCAATTCAGGCAGTAAATTAATTGCCAGGATAAAAACATAATTAGGGATTATTTTATTTTCTGGTTAACTTGGGTCATGTTAACAGAGAATAATAATTAGTTTGGCAGGGCTAGAGGAGGTCCTTTGTGAGGGTTTGGAATATTAATTTTAGCCTATACATATGAATAGTAGAGAAAAGCAACCTAAACTAAACAAAAATACTGTGCATTCTCTTAACTCAGCAGTTTGAAAGTCCAAATGGTAAAAAACACTCTTCTCCATGAACACGTTGTGATACATATTTAAAAATTGGTTTCATTACTACTGATTTCTTAAAGGCAGTTATTTGTTTTAAAAATGCATATAGCTGTAATTTTAAGGATACTCATCCAGCTACTAGTTTGGAAGCTTTTACAATGCTGATACATTCTCCTTTTGTATCAAAAGTACTCTACTTTATGCACTTACGGCGCTTTGAGAACGATCTGCTTCTGTTTTAAGTGATTTTTTTTTAAATGATGTATTCTATTATATTGGCTCAAGCATGTAAGGGGGACAAGATTAAGCCTAACAATATTTTTTTAATATGCAACATTAAGAAGCAGACAGTGTATATTCTATTGTATTCACTGTTTCTGAGTGATCTCCCAGCTATCATTAAAACACCTTACTTAGTGTGTTATTCAACACAATAGCATAAATTAAAGCATATGTTTTAGTGCCATATTGACTTCAACTGCCATTTTCTTTTATTCATATATTGTCTTCATGTCACTTGCAAACCTATAAAGGGAAATTTCAAGCGTCATCTTAACTTTTAGCTTTTGCTGTGGTCTTGGCCTAATTAATACTGCAGTGCTTTTTTTTTTTTTAGCAGGCTTATGATCAGAAGAATATTAGGCGGAGAGTTTATGATGCCCTCAATGTGCTGATGGCAATGAACATCATTTCAAAAGAGAAAAAGGAAATCAAATGGATTGGCCTTCCTACAAACTCAGCTCAAGAATGTCAAAACCTAGAGGTAAGTGGAGGGGAAGGGAAATCCCTTCAGTTGCAGATGACGTCCTGTGGTAATGGAGAAGTGTCACTTTGGAAAGAGTGTGTGTGTTTATATTTGCATAATAAATGTTTAAAAATATGAACTTTAAAAAAAAATCTAATTGCTTTTTATTGTTGCTTATTATGTAAATAAAACCAACATTTGATATTTAAATCCTCACTGAAATGTTTGTGTATATTCTAAGTATAACTATAGTATACTTTATACCAATCTAAAAATCCTGTTTGCCTGACAAAAATAAATATCAATGAAGTCATGCAGTGTGTAAAAGGGCATTCACCCCTTGAGTGTCTCCAAGCAGCAGGTGCAGTATTGCAATCCTTTTCCTGTTCCTGGCACCCCCTATAGGACATCTGTCTACCTCTGCCAATCTTCTGTGGCTTGGTCTTCTGTCTGTGTCACAGTCAAAAATTAACCCTTTCCGGGATAGCAAAGAGTCCAACAAATAAGCAGTGTATCTGCCCTCACCAGGGTCTTCAGCTCTGGCTCTTGGACTTTATATTCAGCCCTTCACTTGGGTTTCCAAACAAGCCCTCTCCCCTTCTTTGGTCTTAGGTTACGCTTGTCCTCCCTTTCTCAGAGTTTACACCACTTTGCCAGTGGCGGAACCAGGGCTCATCCATTACTCTGGGTTCCAGGCAGGCACCCCTGTGAACAGCAACAGTGGTAGTGCTCAATTTTTTGCTGCTACTTCCTTGGGCTTCCTCCCACCTGGCCCGTCTTATCTTAACCCTTAGCTGAAGGACAATGTTCTCAAGTCCCTCTCTCCCCGCAAACCTAGATATGCAAATGTGGCAGAGGTAAACCCTGGATAATCCACAGGCTCCTTTGGGCAGAGAGGAATACCCATCCATGGTCCTCTGGGCCCAGCCAGAGGCCGCCCTGCTAGGGCAGAACAGCTCCTTTTATCTGAGCCTGCTGGGCTCAGATAACTGTTGCTAGTCCTCCTAGCTCTTGGAGGGCCAGGTCTCTCTAGTCTCCAAGATGGCTGCTCCAGAGAGGACTTTCTAGGCAGGCCTAAAGGACTCAGTGTCACTGCTCCATTCCTCCTACATCATTGCTTCCTGGCACGGAGTGTAGTAAGACTGTGGGGACTCCTGTAGGGAGCTGCAAAGGCCAGATACACCCATCACACAGGGCATTAGGGTCTAGGTTAATAGCAGTCTGAATCAGTCATAAGTGTAATATGGGCAATTTGTGTCAATGCTTTGGTTACTGACCGCAGAGAAATGGCATTGTTTGAAAGCAGTGCTCAGATATCTTCCATGGATCAGTGAGGAGACACTCACTGCAGCTGAAGCTAAGAAAAAAAGTGAGGCTACAATTTGAGACTTCAAAGACATGTTTGTCGAGAGTAAAAGGAAAGGCTGAATGGGTTTCACATCGGAACTTCATCAAGTCATTCTGTAAGAAAGATACAGAATCCTGGAAGTAGACTCAGGCAGGTAATTTAGAACAGGCTGCCACCAGGCACAATTTCCACATCTTCTATTGAACTTTGCAATGTTTGCAGGGAAAGGTGGCATCAGCTTTCCTAGCTAAGAAGTATGACGACAGCATCAGCCAGAGTCTGAAGGAGCAGTTATATCAATGGGAAGATCATTTCACGATGCTCCTCAATTGTCTGCTGCCTGCTGTCCCTATTCCATTTGAAGATGAGCAGGAAGTTCCAGTAGAGCTTCCAGTAGAGCTACCTTCCTTCATCCAAGAAGAGATTGAAATCACAGTCCACAAGTTGAAGTCTGAGAACGGACCAGGGGTTTGTAACATCACTGCACAGGCTCTTCCAGGTCATCTGGAACTCTAATACCGTATCATACCTGATGAATGGAAGAAGGGTGTTATTCTGCTTTGTTCAAAAAGGGCAATGAAGCTGAATGTAGCAACTAAAGAAATATTAAGCTGTTGTTGGTCTCAGGGAAAGTCTTTGCTTCTGCGTTAATATCTCAGATCAATGATGCATTTCATGGCATAGGCTGGCATACTGAGTGTGGGTTTAGATCTGGTCATTCCATTGTTGACCAGATATTTAACTTTAGACAGCCTTTTGAGAAAATGGCTGAATATGATAAACTGTGCACAGCACTTTGCATAGACTTCCATGCGGCCATTCGCTCTGTGATTTGAGCAAGTTCGTGGGACCTGATGAGGCAACTAAACATCTCTAGGAAGACTGGTCATTAGTAGAAGAACTCTACAATGGAATAGGAGCTGTGTTCAAGTCAATGGCAGGTACGCAGCATGGTTTCCTATCTCTACGGGAGTTCAGCAAGGCTGAGTTCTGTCATAATCCATTGTTCAATGTTGGCACTGATTGGTTGATGAATAAAGCTTGAGGAGGCAGCTGTCGGTGGTGTTGAGCTGAACATTATTCTATTTTGAGGTCTCAAATATAGTGGTGACATTCTCTTGTTGGCTCAGTTTGGTGAATCACTGCGGCTCACAGCCAGTCTGGTTGAGTCAGAAGCAGTGTGCACTGGTCTGGTTATTAATCCAGATAAAACTAGGTGCCTGACCATTACCCTCAAGCAGCCTCCAGCACTAGATTACAACCTGTCCAGATAAGATATCAGCTGTCAAATATTTGGGCATCATAGACCATGCTGAAGGATGGTCAAAAGATGTGGATGCTTAAATAAACAGCAGCATCTGCTACCATGTTTGGGGCCCTTCTGTGGCCTCTGGGGACATCATGACTTGAAGCTTGCTACGAAGCTGCAGATCTATAGAATCATGCTTATCCCAACCCTGCTGTACAGAAGTGAAACATAGGGGCTGAAGAACTCTGAGTTGACATTTTTTATTCTTGTCATCTCCGTCAGCTGCTCCATATCAAGTGGCAGGACAAGATCAAAAATTAGAATATTCAAAGCGAAACCCAGCAACCATCTCCACCTTTGATTCTGTTTCAGCAGCTTTCTTGGTATAGACATATTACTACAAGGCAGGACCAAGAAATTCCAAAGTCTATGTACCAAGGAATGCCGCTCCACAGCGGGTGATCACGTGGGTGCCATAAACTTTGGTGGCCCAATAAGATTGCCAGTAGCCATAAACTGAACATATAGCTAAAACAATTCAAGCAATTTGCAGAACTCAAGCCAGCTGGCCCTTGATTTGCAAAGGAGGCCAAGTCCCTTTGGTATTCGCCATAATGATGATGATTTGTTTAGAAAAAGAATTTACTGGGGAGTAAGTTTATCTAGCTATTGATTTGGATGATAGAAAACCTCTTTAAAAGGAATATCATACAGGGATGCTGAACAATATTTGCTTATCAGGAAAAGTCAGAAATATTTTTTAAATTGCCTGTTGAATCTTTTGTCTGGCATTTTCAGCAGGGAGAAAACTATCATTTTGTTGCAAAGATGCCAAACTTTCTCTGTGAAAATGTCACTTGCCCTGTGGACAATAGTCATGTATCTTGCACAAGACAAATATCACAATGTTCACACCAAAATATTGTACTGACTAGCAGAAAATACAACATCTCAATCTCTATCAAATTTGTGAATTTTTGCAATTACTTGAATAAATATCTGGTTTTGTACACCTAGTGAAAAACAAGTTATTTTGTGCAGTTCTGTTCATATAATACCTTTTAGGACATTGAAATGGCAACAGGAGAAAAGAAAAAGAAAAACATTTACTGTTTTAATCATTGTGTCAAACAGTAGACTGACAGGTATGATAAACCCAGGGAAAATGGCTACGCCTGATCATTTTTAAGTAAATTTTACCATAATAGTATGTTGTGAATATTTTTTTAATGTCTTTGGTTTTAATTCAGATCTTTTAAACTCAGTTTGTGTGAATTATTTGTGTGAATCATATTGCTATGAAATGATAAATTTTGATGTTATTGTTCTCACATTTTGTTGTCTACAGTGTGAGAACTCAATCAAATTAACCTTATGTCCTTTTTCTATCTATGACTTTAGTTACACAAGCCTCTGAGCACAGTGAAAACCAAGCATTTCCTTAAAATGTTGCTTTCAGTGTCATTTAACAGAAAAGAAATAAAGCTGTGTTTTCACATGTGCTGAAATCAATAGATTTACCAATTTGTAAATGCCCTCCATTCAAGAAAAAAAAAAGTGTATTTTAAAGTTATTTTAAATACATAAACAAAAATGTAGTTCTGTGTAAAGGTTACCTTAAAGAGAAAACACAGAAAAAATCAGTGTGTAGAGAGGATAAATTATTAGACCTTTTAACATTTATTTACTTTGATAGTCTTATAGGTCAAGCAAAGGTATGCCCTGCACTCAACTTTGCAGAAAGCATATTAGTCACAGTTAATTGTATTAGAAGGCATTGTAAATAAAATTGTTTCTGTTTGCAGTGGAGTTAAACTTTATAATATTATGGTTTGGAGCTACGCAATTTGAAATGAGAGGTAATTAAAATAGGGTTTAATGTAATTGGGAGCCAAGATACATTAGTGTTTACAGCAGCAGGAACATTAAAACCTAGAGCATTAAAAATACACATAGAGGCCAGCACTGTAGCTTTATTAGACTGTCCACCTCTTTGGATTTCCTCAGGACTCTCCTTGATTTAAAGTATAGATTCTGGTGTTCTGGCAGCATGGGTAGAGGTCCTGAAGTACCACTGTCCTGAATACTGTTGAAAATGGTTTTGTTTATTCCATTTGTGTCACCATGGCTGCTGGAAGAAACTGGTAGCATGGTAGCTGCTTTCCCTTAACCTCTTCTTGTGACTGGTTACTGAATTCTTGCTAGTCTATCCAGGTTTCCGGTTAGTAGTCAAAAAGGGTGGTCACTCTTGGCCTAGCGATGATACACTAAAATGCCATCCTAGAGGGTCCTGAGCCCAGTCTCGTTAGTTGTCTTTCAGTCCTGAGTCAACAGGGACTGAGAGAACTGTTGATGGGATGCTTTTAATGAGTGGGAATAAGAAAGCAAATGTTTTATTGTGGTACTATGATGGCTCCATTTTGGAGGGATGCAGTATTTCCTATCCAGGGCTGGAGAAAGTTCCTATAACATATATCCAACAGGGAAAAATAAGGGAGAGGAAATGCTATAACTTAGGTGGGGTAGTATTGGTCTTTTAATGAAGGGAAAGTGATATAAAAGCAGAGGTTGAGGTTGCAGTCAAAAATTAAGTTGTGTAAATCCAGGTTCCTAGAAATGCCCCACTATATGATTAGTCCATATGAGAAAGGAGAACACTACAGAGCAGCGAGGTGGAGCTGGGAAGGATTTTCAGCTTATGTACCAGGCCTCCCTCAAACAAATATAGTGTGAATTTCTATAAGGGTATCAAAATTTCACTTCCTTTATTGCAAAAATCTATTTTGTTTTAGACAGAGAACAAGACCAGGCAATTTATGTATTTACAAAATTGTATCTTAGTGTGTCTAAATTTATGTTCTAAAGATAGAGAAACAGAGACGGCTAGAACGAATAAAGCAGAAGAGAGCCCAGCTGCAAGAGCTACTATTGCAGGTAAATTTAATTTTTATTTATACAGCCACTAACAAAAAACTGTTAAGGTTCAGAGTATTTTTTTCTCCACTTTATAAATGTTTTTAGATTAATTTAGTGCCCATGAAAGTGATATTGCAGTGTACCTGAATCCTGACCTAAAATACCTCTGCCATCCTAGCATGGGGCCTCTTGGATAGATGCAGCCTCCTGGAGCACAATTGTCATTATCTGTCAATATCTTCTACCCTATGTCATTATTACATTTTGCAAACATTCCACTCATGCTGTTTTGCCACCGACTCCAGTGGGAACAGGAGCAGAATCACGCCGCCCCCCGCCTCTCCTCCTCTCCTCTCTCCCCCCCACTCCCCCACTTGGTCCCTCTGACAAGTTACCATTGAAAAATGCAATTTTCAACACACACTTGCATGGGTTCAGTTGTACATTCCATAGCTGAGAATCAGTTGTTGCTGGGGAACTGAAACTTCAGGATCCTTATTATAAAAGACTCATGAATCCAGGCCTGGCACTTTTCACATTTTGATGCAGTAACCTAGGAAGGCTTTTTGAAACCTGCTGATTTGGCCTGAATGAAGAAATATTGTAACTTCAAATGCATTTCGGTTTGCAAAGAGGGCATTTCATTTTTTTAAAAGTCTATATCGTATTTATAGTGTTTGGATATATACCTGGGTTTTGAATACTTTACACATAATGGACCATTTGTATAAGATCACGAGTTAAAGTCATAGGGTAACAGAAAATAACGTTTTTTTTCTTGGTGCAAAATATGATGGTGTTTAAGACACAATCAGATATGCAGTGAAATTCTAAGCATTTGGACACTTCTGCTTTTCTCAGTGGCAAAAATATTTTTTCTAAATAGTTGGACTTAATTCTGACCTCACTAACACTGGTGTACATCCTAAGCAACTCGAAGAAGGCACGGTGGTGAAAGTGATAGGAAAATTAGACCCATAAACTCCCTGCTCACTGTGTTTATATATCTGTTTTATGATAACTCTTCAGTGTTTGATTCTAATTTAACTACTTTCACCATTCAAATAATTTTAGCAATTCTTGCCATTTTATATGTTTGTGCTCCTATTGACTGGAATCAGTAGTGCCAAACATGAACTACAGAAGATTCACAGATATCCCAGATTATTGCCAGTCATTGCAGTCTTGACTATATACAGAATCCCATAGCAAAAGATGAGCTGTGGAGAGAAGGTTGTAACTTGTAAACAGTTATGAAAGTGGGTAATTTCAAAGCTACAGATTTGCTAGGACTGGATGATATAGAGTGAACAGAGGAGAGAAAAAGGGAGGATGGATAAGAGAGTAAAGAAGAGAAGAGGGGAGTGGGCCGTGGGAGGTGCCATTTGATCCACATTAAGTATAACTTTGTTATCTTTACATTTTCTGACCTTTTAAACTGATGTAATTATGCACCCTGGCTAGTAGATAAGGCCTTTGTTATGCCTTTTAAGCCCTAATTCCTAATGTGTGGAGATGCTCTGTCTCCTGGGCATTGTACTCCGTACTGTGCTACCCTCCCAAAGCTCCAGAGATTGCCAGGGGAGCATGTCTGCTGTGCCTCCCTTGAAAGGGTGCAGCATGCACTCCTTTCTGTTCCTGGCCAGCACAAAGGAGAGTTTGTTAGCCAGCACAGAGAGTTCAGACTGTGTCCACCCCATCTTAGGAGAGATACCAGACAGGTGCTGGAGGTACTGGTACTTGGTTACTAAAACAGCTGTAAAATCCCAGATCATGGATGAGTCCACATTTACATTTGAATGACAGTGATCATTTTCCTTTTTCTTTTTTCTTCTTTCTACAGCAAATAGCATTCAAAAATTTGGTACAAAGAAATCAGCAAAATGAACAACAGAATCAAGGTCCTCCAGCTTTGAACTCTACAATACAGCTCCCTTTCCTAATAGTTAACACTAGCAAAAGAACTGTTATAGACTGCAGCATATCAAGTGATAAGTGAGTGTGATGTGGAACCACATATTGGAATATTCAGTCTTCTGTGTAATAAGTATGGGATTTTTCTTTGAACAGAAAGTCTATTCACTTCATACTGAAACTAATTATACATTTGCATTTCCCTTTCATCTTCCTGGTATTTGACATAGGTACTGACTCCATGGGTGCTCCAGGGCTCAAACACCCATGGGAAAAAAATAGGGGATACTCAGGACCCAACAGCCACAGCTGTTCGGCGGGGCCCCTGGCCTGGCTGCTGATCAGCTGTTCGGCAGCTGGCAGGAGGCACTCGAGGGAGGGCAGAAAGAAATCAGTGGTGGGCAGGTGGGGGAGCCTTGGGGGAGGGGGCTGAGAGGAGCAAGTGAAGGGCAGGTGGGGGAGGGAGCGGACGGGGGGTGGGGTGGGAAGAAGTAGAGCAAGGGTGGGGCTCGGGGGAAGGGGCAGGGCTTCAGGGCAGAGCATCCACTGGGAAAAATAAAATCAGCACCTATGGTGTTTGATACCTCTTTCAGTATACTTAACCACCATTGTGCTTTTGTAAAATGTATGATGCATGCTCTACAACTTTTAGTCAGAGTTATATGGCTACCAACTTGTTCAAAATTATGAGATGGAAATAAGTGCCAGAGGCAATTGGGAAAACTCTGAAATAGATGTTTCGTTCATTTTAGTGGCACCAGGCTCACTGTCCTTAGTGCTTCGTAAGATAGAGAAGAATGAAAGTATGCAACAGTTAGAAATATTTCGCTTGCATTCTTGGGTTATGGTTTATTGCATTATGGATTTAGTTGTAAGCTTTTCTTTGCTGTTAACCTGTGACTCTTGTACTTATACATGAGGGAGTCTGTATTTGTTCTCAGCTCTCTTGTGAATTCTATCAGCTGGTGAAAGAATACAATCTTGATGTATCATTGTTTACTAAATCATAACAGTTTATTAGTGGTAAATAGATCTCTTTCATTGAATGTTATTGGTTATGGATTTCATTCTACTGTACATTGATTTTGCATTACAGTGGAACCTCCTTATGGTGAACTTGAATATAGTGAAACTTTATAACGAAGTAGAATAAAAGTCCCTAATTGCTTCAGTTTCAACATCCAAATTACAATTCTGGCTATGGTGAAGTTGTTGGTGAATATGTATAATCAGGACCCTGTGCACTCTGCAGCACTGTTGGCTGAAATTCTTATAAGAGGCCTAATTTCTGGACTCCAGTGCAGTTGCCTGGAAATACTATGCCAGCTAATAGTAGATTAAAAATTGATATTTTTATTGAATGAAATATTCCAATGAATAGTACAGCATAATATCCCCTCAATTATTTTTAAATTGACCCTAATTTTTAAGCTTAATATCAAATTAAATAATTGTTAACAAGTTGAATATTTTTTTATTGAAACTTCATAACTGAATTGTACAAGTTGTTGGGAGGTAAGCAGAAGCTTTTGGTACCTGGGAAGGCATGGGAGGGAGTTTGAGATTGTGGGATACTAAAATTATCAGTGGTGATATATTTTAAATTGTTAATATCATCAGTCTTCCAAATTAAAATCCCATTGAGATGAGTGGGACATTTCACATCCCTAAAGCTACTGTTTGCATCTCAGGGACCTGTTTACACTATATTTTCCCCTTACAGTTTCCCTCTGTTGCAACTCCCTGTGCAGTCAACTGGTGTTCACACCAGTGGGGTGCATATGTGGATAAGGTCCCAGCAGCTGCTGGTGGTTTAATCACCATGAAATTAGGGCTGTCAATTAATTGCAGTTAACTCAAGCGATTAACTCAAAACTAATTAACTCAATTTTAAAAATGAATCACGATTAATCGCACTTTGAATTGCACTGTTAAACTAATAGAATACCAATTTTAATTTATTATAAATATTTTTGGATGTTTTTCTACATTTTCAAATATATTGATTTCAGTTACAATACAGAATACAGCGGGGGTTCTCAAACTGGGGTTCAGGACCTCTCGGGGGTCACGATGTTACTACGTGGGGGGTTGCGAGCTGTCAGCCTCCACCCCAAACCCCGCTTTGCCTTCAGCATTTATAATGGCGTTAAATATATAAACAAGTGTTTTTAATTTATAAGGGGGGGTTGCACTCAGAGGCTTGCTATGTGAAAGGGGTCACCAGCACAATAGTTTGAGAACCACTGACGTACAAAGTATACAGTGCTCACTTTATATTATTATTTTTTATTACAAATATTTTCACTGTAAAAAGGATAAAAGAAATAGTATATTTCAATTCACCTCATACAAGTACTGTAGTGTAATCTCTGCCGCGAAAGTACAACTTACAAATGTGGACTTGTAGGCTCTAAAGTTTTACATTGTTTTATTTTTGAGTGCAGTTATATAACAAAAAATAATAATTCTACATTTGTAAGTTGAACTTTCACGATTAAGAGATTGCACTTCAGTACTTATATGAGGAGAATTCAAAAATACTATTTCTTTTGTTTATCTTTTTTACAATGCAAATATTTGTAATAAAAAATAATAGAAAGTGAGCACTGTACCTCTTTGTATTCTGTGTTGTTATTGAAATCAATACATTTGAAAATGTAGAAAACATCAAAAAATATTTAAATAAATCGTATTCTATTATTGTTTAACGGTGTGATTAAAATTGTGATTAATCGCAATGATTTTTTTAATCTCATGATTAATTGCAATTAATTTTTTTAACCATTTGACAGCCCTACATGAAATCAATCTGTTAGGTAAGACATCACAATTGTTAAAATATTGGTGATTGGTCTATACTAGTGCTGCAACAACAGGACCTTTTAAGGAAAAAACCCAGTGTAAACACCATCTGGTGTGCCCCAAAGCACTGGTTTGCACCTGGTTCACATTTAGAAAGTTTTCTTCTCACCCATAAAGGCTAGAAAAGCCATTTAAAAAAATAAAAGCTGGGATTCTAGAGCAGTATTCCAAGGTAAGATGTGGATGAATTCTGTGGCAGAAATGCAGAGCATATGATACATATAACTTTACTATTCATACCAACACAGCTGAGCTCAAGAGTTATTTCTAGATACTGTACAGCAAACACTGTTTTTTTTTTTTTTTTTTTTCTTTTAAATATTTCTAAGTTAAACTTTACAACTTAGTATTTTTAGTGTGATTTTTTTCTCGGGGCTTGTCTACACAAAAAAGTTGTACCTCTTCAACTATACTGATATAGTTAAAGCAGTACAACCCACCTACTGTGGACACAGTTATATCACTACAAAGGTGCCTAGTACTGATATAGGTTATTGCTCTTCCCATACAGGTAAACTATAGCAGTATAACTATGTTCACACTAGAGATTGTACCAGTATAACTATAAATTTAAAAAAATATATCTCTGACAGTTTATACTGATACAGAAACTGTGTGTAGACCAGGATTTAGACCCAATCCTTCAAACATTAAAGCAGGTGTAACAGTACTCAAAGAGTAGTTCCATTCAGGGGTCTGACTGAAAAAAAGACCTGATGACACTCCTCCAAACTCCTCCACCCACAAAATAAACTGCTTCCTTGTCAGTTGCTAGAATGAGATGCTGCTTACTATAGATTAGAGGTTCTCAACCTTTTTCTTTCTGAGGCCCCCCCAAACATGCTATAAAAAACTCCATGCCCCCACCTGTTCCACAACAACTGTTTTTCTGCCTATAAAAGCCAGGGCCGAGTTAGGGCAAGCAGAGCAATTGGCCAGAGCCTCATGCCATAGGGGGCCCTGCAAACTTAAGTTGCTCAGGCTTCAGCTTCAGCCGCTGGTGGCAGGTCTTGGGGCCCCAGGCTTCAGCCCCACATGGTGCTTCGGCTTTCTGCCCTGGACCCCAGTGAGTCTAATGCCCCATGCTTGGCTGACCCCTAAAATCTGATCACAGCCCCCCAGGGGCCACAGACCCCTCGTTGAGAACTGCTGCTATACATCATGTAGTTGTTCAAAGTATGATCATATGGCCTCTCTGAGCTCTAATGGGCTCCTTGAACTTGGCTCCCGCCCTCCCCCCAAGTGGAGTTTTAGTATGCCTTGGGCTCTGTTAGGCCCCTTGACTGAGGCGGAAAAGGTAGTCCTATCTTCAATTCGTCACCCACCTATGGCATCAAAGTGAGATGCTGCTGACAGTAAACTGTGCAGATCACTGATCCCTCCTCTCCTTTCTTACATGAAGAATGAAAGAGTTAAGAACGCTGACATATAAATCATCATCACTGGGCACCTGAGTTTCCACCTTAATGAAATAAATGGGGCAGTTCATACCTTTCAGAGCTATTGTTTCAGGCTCTTTGCAGACTTGCATCTTGCCTTCAGTTTGTGTTTTTGAGGTTTTCTCTTTTTTTAAATGAGATTCTGGAGACCATAATCACTTCAGATATTTTCTATATTGGCTCAGTCTCCATTTACGTCAGTGCTAGTAGAGTTATGAACATGTTTAATTTTTGCTGGTTTGCAGTCTCAGATTGCAAAAGCACTGAAGAAATAGATTCTTGTTTATGCTTGACAAGAGTTTTGTGATCATTTCAAGCATTAATTGAACAAAAAACTGTTTTCTAGGGATCTGGGCTTAAATGGATTTCATAGAAAGACAGTGGACTTTTTTTTAATCAGAAATTAATCAGTCTAAACTTCACTTTCTGTTGGGGGTGGAAGACGAGACAAGTTGCTTAAAATAAGTTTTAAACAGTTGATTATTGTCCCTTATTTATTGGAAAGAATAGATGACCTCTGGCTTATTCTCAGTATTGCAAGCAGGCCAGAGTACAAGCTGAGCGAATAATGCAACAGTTCTGGGACAGAGGGCTGGTCTACACTACAAAGGTTTTACAGTATAGCTATACCAGCAACGCCTGCTGGTGGAGAGGCCACCCTGAACAAGATAAACTACCCTGGTAAAAGGACTCTTCTGACAGTATAAATTGCATCTACACGGGGGATTTTGCCAACATATCTATGCTAGTTAAGGGTGTGATTTTTTTTTTCTCACTCCTAACTGAAATAACTGTGCTGGCAAAACGTGATATGACAGTTTTTTAACATATAGGACCTGTAAGCAAACAGATTTAGAAGGTTGTTATTTCATTGATAAACTATCCAAAAGGTGATTTACATTGAAGTAAATACGTCAGTTCACAGTGGGGATGTGGTGGATTAGAACAGAAAGTTTAAGGAAAAAGCAGCAAAAATAAAAATGGTTATTTTTGGTGACAAAGCTGTAGAAGACTTTCAAAAAGTATTGGGTTTAGTACAAGTAAGGGTTTTTGCTGGAGCAGGAATGTTTTCCTCATCTTTTAATCTGTTTAATGAAGGAGAAAAGTTTGACTCTTATTGCCTGCCATGGAAAAAGTTGTTTTAATTGGGAAATATGATCATTGGAACCCTGCAGAGATGCCAGTCTCCTAAGTACAGGAGAAAAGCTGTACCTACCCATGGTATTTAGAGAAAAAAGCATCTTTGACCTCTGAAGAAATTCTAAAATATTGTAATTGTATCTGTACACTTACTTCCTGAATGTATAGCACAGGAAAATATAATCAGGCCCATGGTTCCTTCCAGAACCATCTCACTTTGACATTTCTCCTGTACAGATTTGAATACCTCTTTAATTTTGATAACACGTTTGAGATTCATGATGACATTGAGGTGCTGAAGCGAATGGGAATGTCCTTTGGGCTAGAGGCAGGCAAATGCTCAGCAGAGGATCTAAGAACTGCAAAATCATTGGTGCCAAAAGCTTTAGAAAGCTATGTCACAGGTAAGTTAAATGAAGCTTTTAAATATTATCCTTGATTAAATTCAAAGCCATAACTTACTGAAGCATTTCTAATTATGTCAAACTACATAAGCATGAGGCATAAGACAGTTTGAAGTAGATTTATGAAAGCCAGCAGGATCCCACAAATGACTGGTGGTTTTAAAATTAATCTTCGATGGGCTTAATTTAAAATTGTTTAGAATATTGATTCATGAATGGGCTGCAGTGCAAAGGAATAATTCCATTAATAGTTTCTGGTGAAAACATAATCCTTGAGACTCTAATATAGCCCAAGCGCCTCAAAATGACAGTATTTTCCTTGCATCATTGCTACTCTTTTTTAGGCTCAAAAGAATCCTGGATAACAGGAACAGGAAAGACCTATAAAAGGGAGTCCATTTCTCTTTTTTTCTCCTCTCCCTCACTCTCCCAAAAATGTGTGGAATAGAGAGCACCTTAGCAGAGGACAAATCTGATATTAGATTGCTCTTTCAGCTTATTGAGGAGATTCTCCTTATAAATCTCTCATTTTGCATGGACCACATATTCCTTTGTATTTGTAAGGCACATAGCTAAACGAGGCCCTGATTTTAATTGGCCCTCTGAGTACTATTGCATTATAAGTATTAAATAAGAATGAGATGATGTGTGTTTTAGAGCAGCGGTTCTCAAACTGTGGGTCAGGACCCCAAAGTGGGTCACAACCCCGTTTTAATGGGGTCACCAGGACTGGCTTAGACTTGCTGGGCCCATGGCCAAATCCAAAGCCCGACCCATCTGCCCCAGGCTGAAGCCGAAGCCCAAGGGCTTCAGCCCTGAGTGGCGGGGCTCAGGTTGCAGGCCCCCTGTTAGGGCTGAAGTCCTTGGGCTTTGACTTTAGAGCTCCTCTGCCCGGGGCAGTGGGGTTCCGGCTTTGGCCCCCCTACCTGGGGTGGCGGGGTTCAAGTGGGCTGAGACTTCAGTCCTCCCTCCTGGGGTCATGTAGTAATAGAGGGTCACGGTGCAATGAAGTTTGAGAACCCCTGATTTAGAGGAAATAGGGCATGTATCTCTGGAGATATGGATTCTGTTACTGATCTTGAGCAAGTGATTTTCACCTTTGTGCCTTATGTATAGTGTTTGAGAACTATTGATGAAAAGCGCAAAGTGTCATTAACTAAATTAAACTTCCTATAAAATGTTACAACCGTCTTTTATTAAAAGGTAGAACTTGCTTTTAAAATTAGGAGTGTTGATCTCTTTTATTAGAATTGCAGCGTGCCAGTCTAATAGCTGGACTCTCCTTGAGTAAGATTCTGGATGTTTGTTAAAATGTATTGTATAGGTTCTTGAAATAATTACTTTCTGTATTTTCCTATTATTGCAAGTATCATTGTAAACTTATGCTTTCTCCTATATATTCAGTCTTCTTTCGTTGTTCTTCAGTGACATTTGAGTCCAGTGTTTGTGACATTACTTCTCAGTATTATGAAAGTCTTTTTGGATATTAACTCCAAGGTTGATCACATCCTGTACACAAAGAGGATTTTCTCTTCCCACCCTTTTCTCCTAGACATTCTGCTTGGATGAATTGCTTAGTGGTCATAGCTAGGTGGGCTTCCAGGTATAGACTTAGACAGCATGCTGCAGTATTGTAGGTTACTTACATGCTTCTGGTCCTTGGCTGTTGTCAGTCTAAACTTAAATTGTTCTAAAGTTCTCTTAAACTTTCTGGTTCACTTTAGGAGATCTTCCACCGATAAAAGGAATGTTACCCAGTAAATCGCTAAAAAGAAATTTCAACACTTAATTTTCAGAAAAATTGGAACACTGCCATTAGCCTGGCACCTGTGTTGTTAATCTGATTCTCACTTCACCTAATGTCTGTTGTATTGATTTGCCTTGTTTATTATTTTAAAAAATCTTGGGTCCTTTTCCTGTAGCTAAGAATAGAAGATTAATTTTTAATACTTTGTTCCCTAGGTGTAGAAGCTCTATAGAAGGTAATGGTATTTCTGCTGCAAATGAGAGAGAAGAATTTTTTCTGTTGCAAACAAAGTAATTTTATAGTTCTCCCTGGGAGGATAATGCAGTTGGAAGCTGTCCAGTCACTTAGATGATAATTTATAATATATACATTGATATAAGTTTTTATATTCTTAAAGAAGTAACATTTTTGTTGGTGGCATAATTTATTTGGTAACACACTAGTATTCCACATCCACATAGGCTTCTGGCTGCTAATCACAAGTCCTGTATTGACTTCCCCTTTATGCAAAGTACTCTGGACCAATACTGTACTCTTTAGATGTGGGTTGTTTTGAGTACATTTTTCAAAGCTGTCTTATTTTGGTTATGAGAAAATATGGCCAAAAGTTTTTTGGTTCTTTTAATCTAGTATTGTATACTAAAGTGTGTGCATTTAGTCTGAAGGTTTCTTTTATTGGTTGCTCCTAATATAATTATGCAGTGTGAGGATCAGTATAAATTATGTAGTTACTACAATCAGATGCCTGTATTAACAAATAGGAGTAGCTGTCTTAAATATGTTTTGCAAAGGTATCAAAAAGAGGGCATTTGCCTTATTACATGGTTCTCTCGGCAAAGTATAACTTCCCTTTTTAACTTTGGTATGCTTTATTTCTTATACTACCAGAGCAGAATTTAAGGTTAAGTATCCACATTTTATGGCTTATTTCCATCAAATTTGCCATGCTGCTTTAAAATATATAGGCTTCAGTTAACTACTGTTCAAGAATAGCAAATCAGTGTCTTGTATTTATTTACTGGTTACGTTTGTTGCAGATAACAAAGGTTAGAGCTTTCCCACACTGGCCTACCCCATGAACTAGACTATGATGGAAGAGAAACCTCTGTAGCTGATGTCAGGAGTAAAGAATTATCTGAATCAGCTCATTGCTAGGCATCTCCTTAGCAAAGCACACTTACTATACACAACGATGAGAGCTTCAGGCTGTGTCAGTCAGGGGGTGATCTCTGACTGACATAGCTCTGCCAGCAGAAGTCCTTACTGTAGATGCAGCTATGCCAGCAAAGCTTGTTTCTTTTATGGGGATGTTTTTACTGTATTGCTTTTCCTATACCACTAAAGCACTCCTAGTGCATACCTGGGCCAAGACTGTGCTGCTATTTTAGAGAAACAGATACTGAAGGCTGAAGATTAATTATGGTAGTGTTGTATTTGCTAAATGAACATATGCATAACCATTGGAGAAGCAAAGCGGGTAGGATCTCCTAGTCTGGAGTTACGTGGATAGATTTGGTGAAAAATCTACAACCAAATGTGACCATCTCTGCTAAAATAAATTACTTTTCTTAAAGAATATGTTACTTCCCAGCCCAAAATAACATTTTAGAATTGCTTATACAGATTAATGCAAAATATATGAAAGAATCTTTTAATTTATTAACTTTTTAAAGTTTTCTTTGTACAAAAGGCTTACATTTTATCCATTCCCTCAGAAAGCCCCCCCCTCACAAATGTATACACTCTTACTTTTTAATTTTCTCTAGATCTCATTGTGCGAAAATTAATCATGTTATTTTAAATAAAAGCTTGAGTGTACTTTTACCTAAATTAGTAGGAGTCTGGTCCAAAATTTAACTTAAAATACCATATTGGTATAGCACACAGCTATCTCTCTATGTATCTTGAACCATAAATGCTGAGTTTGTTAACAAAAACCAAGGGTGTCTTTTTGGGGGGCGGGGAGGAAAGAAGGGGTTTACTACTGCCGGCACTGAGAAGACAATACAGTTTCTGAACAAGAATGTGTATTGTATATAGTCTATATACAATACAGCATTGTACTTTAGATTGCGATTAGTTTATTGTTTACTCTAAAATCCACATGCTTACTCAGAATGTCTTGGAAATTGCTGTGATCCAGGGCAGACACAGTGGTCCAAGATAAGGTTTTCCAAGATACAGTCCATCCCTCCCACCACCACCAAAAAAAGAAACTGTAAAATTTTCATGTCATATGATTAACTTTTTTTGTGCACAGCTGGGGCTATGAGCCTCCCGAACTGATACCACCTACACTGGATGGATCTCCAGCACCTACTTCCCCTTTAGCAAAGCAATATTTAAAAAAGTTATTCAGGGTAAACATTGGATCTACACAGTGGCTTGATCCGGAGAAAGTCATTTGTGCAGGTGCAGCAGGCCTGGGGGCTCTACTGCACTCAGTGTCTGCAGACATGCTGACAGAGTATGTAGCTTAAGGTGATGTGCTGTGGCCACTGAACCCAAGTATACTCCTGGATGAATTCTGTGCCAAAAAAATTAAAAATTCTGCACACAATATTTTAAAATTCCTCATATTTTATTGTCAAAATATAATCACACCAGTTTCAATTATTTTGGTAATTTATTTCAAAATACCTGTCAACAGCTATGTCAACAATACACACAACAACAAAAAACATTCCCCCAGGAGTAGAAAGTTAAAGAAACCCCTATTGCAACCCGGTTCCAGTTGGGGGGGATGTGGGAGGGGGCTGCATGGCACCCCCTCCCCCAGAGCCCAGCTGTGGGAAACCCTCCTCCCCCCAGATACCTGCACCCCAGAGCCTTTACCCCCTCCCAGAGTCTTTACTGTCCTCTATGCCCGCTGCGCTGGGCACTCTGCTCAATGCAAGCTGGGCTCTGCAGAGTTCTGCAGCACCAATTCTGTGCAAATTCTGCAGTGGCACAGAATTCCCTCAGGAGTACTAAGTAGCATCCACATACTGTAAGTCTGAGTCCTACCCTTGTCATCTTCCTGAGACTGAGGCCTGGTCTAAATTTAAAATTAATATTGACCTAGCTATGGCGCTTAGGGCTGTGAAAAATTTTGCTGCACAATTACGTTGACCTAATCTCCGGAGTAGACGCAGCTAGGTCGACAGACTTCACCTCTCGAAGAGGTGGTTTAACTACATTGACAAAAAACCCCTTCTGTCAAAGGAAGACTCTACACCACCGCACAGTAGTGTAGGCATATTTTGGCCTTGGC